ATTACTCTTTTATTAGATAGGATAGAGGCCTGGTGCTTAGGTGGGGGCTGGCTGTTTTGCCCTAAAGGGTATCCCGGATCAGGGTGGGGGTTTCGTTGGTGTGGGGCAGCCTGAGTGAGGGGCCTGTAGTGGTTTGCAGGCCAGCCATGCCCCCTGGCAACCCAAATGGAGGCCCTGGTATCTGGAATTTATTTACCTTCTACAATTGAAACTTTGTAGTCTGGAATGGGGCCAAGCCTCCTGATTACTCTGGGGCTCGCAGCCATTTCTGTTTAGATTTGTTTATCTTTTATAATTGAAACTTTGTAGTCTTGAATGGAGGCTTAGGCTGGCTAGGGCAGGTGGAAAGCTTGGCTTCTTCCATTGCCTGGGAAACCCAAGCCTCCCTCCTGCTCTCTGTGGCTGTAGCCATTTTGATTGTGTTTATTTGCATACTTGCTCTGATTGGCTGGTGGGCATGGTTTGTGGGTGTAGCGGAGTGATGGTTAATTTGCATATTACTCTTTTATTAGGTAGGATAGAATAGGATAGGATAGAAGAGAATAAAAGAGTTCAGAAAATAGCCCAGGCCATCAGAGATAGGAAAATTGTTATTTTTGATATTTTTGTTTTAAATACACATGTATGTATGAACTAATTCTGTTTTTGTTGTTGTTGTTAATCCTCACACAAGGATATTTTCCCATTGATTCTTAGATAGAAGATAGAGTGGAAGGAAGGGAGGGATAGGAGAGAAAGAAAAAGAGGAAGAGAGAGAGAGAGAGAGAGAGAGAGAGAGAGAGAGAGAGAGAGAGAGAGAAATGTGAGAGACACATTAATTGGTTGCCAGACCTGCACACATCTGGGCTAGGACCAAGAATCAGACCTGCAATCCAGCTACGTACCCTTGATCAAGAATCAAACCTGGGACCCTTTGGTAGACGAGCCGATGCTCTAATCACTGAGCTACACTGGCCAGGGCATGTGAACTAATTCTTGATGTTAAAGCATTCTTGCTCTGGGTATGTAAAATATTAACTATGCTGAAATCAAAAGCAGAAGCATTATGATTATAAATGGCTGAACATCAGACCTTAATTTGCAAAAGCTATGTACTAATATAGTCATTATTGTAGGTTGAAAGACATATGTTAGCCCAAGGCTAAATATTCTGTTTGGTTTTTAAAATTCATGTTAAAATAAGAAAAACATTGTAAGACTAACCCCCTTCTATCAGATTGATAAAACTCACAACAACAAGAAAATAATGTAAACACAAAATCGCATTTATTTTTTTCTAAAGCACGGAGCTCACTTCTGCACATAAACAATAAGCAAACCACACGAATTTGAGAAAACCCAAGAATACATACATATATATATTTATTCTTCAGAGCGGCGAGCAGGAGTTTGACAACAACGTGAAGTGGTTTTCAATAAAGAATGCTTCCTGACAGGCTTTTGAGGAGGACATGGACACGGAAATTCTGCCACATAACATCTGGTACTTCAGTCTTTTGATCCCCAAGGACAGTGAAAGCCACCTTGGGATTTATATTTAGCTTCATCATTACTCTGTTCAACGTTTGCATTTCACTAAATCTGGACCAGAACTAACCCCTCGATGCTTGCGCCTGCACACTCAGGGTCATGGGAAGAAAAGGGAAGACAGCTTGGGCATGCAAACCCACTTGGGGACCAATACCAGGGTTTCCCAATGGTGAATAGTCATCTGTGCACTCTTCCCATGCTTTTCCTGTAGAGACATAAAGGTGTGTCAGGGTCCTAAGTCATACTTAACATGGCTAGGTCCTTTGGAAACTCAAATGTCTCTTGTAAGTCTTTAGAAAAAAAAAATTCACAATAATGCACGCCATTTAAACCTTAGATAAAAACTTTGGATGTGACACATTTATTAGTCCCCCTTTTCACAATTCAGAACACGCTTATTAAACATGTGAACGTTTCTGGCATCATCAGCAGCTTTAAAACGTGGACAGCAATGAAACGATGTCCAAGAGGCTACAGAAGCATCTGATGTGTAAGACAGATCGGACCCAGCATGCCTTCCAGCTTGCCCTTAAGGCTTTCCACATGTCTGCTTCTGAGACAAAAAGATTCAAAATAGGAAGAATTTGGAAAGGAGTGAAGATTCAAAGTCCGTTCCTGGACCTCACACCCATTGTTTCCTCTCTTGACATCTCTGCTCCAGCTGCCATGTGGATGTGGAAGGCACACGTCACCATCAGCAAAGCACTCAGCAGTGTTTCCCTACCTCCTTCCCTTCTTAACTGTGCAGAACTCTCATAGAGGGGAAATGGAGAGTCAATGGGGTTGGATGCTCATGGTATCAATTTAGAAAGACCTCCTGCTGCCAAGAAGGGAACTTGTCCCAAGGTATCTTCCCAGATTCTCAAACCTTGGACAAGTGAACCAGAGGGAAAGCGAGGATGAGGGAGCTGAGCTTCCTCGGCCTAAATTCACGAAGACTAGGACAACCTCTCATGCCCTCCTCCACGTTTCACGCTCTTTTGAAAAGTAAATTCATCTTAGCTGATTCGCCTGTTTATGTGTTCTAATTGAAAAAACACTCTTTTAAATGTATGGCAGTCAATCCTACTGGGTATGTTTGGGCCTCTTAAAGCGTGTTCCATTAAAAACACCACGAAACCGGAGGCAAAGAGTGTAGGGTGAGGTGAGAAGCCTGATGAGAAGTTTTAATTCTTTCCTGTCAGAGAGCAAAATATTCAAACAAAAAGGAACATAGAATTGGCTGGGGATACTGTCTCCCCACAGTTCAGGAAGTCAACTCACATCAGGCAAAGGCCACATTTCAAAGTGCAGGACATCTGGGCCCATGCATGGCTAAGGCCTGAACTACTGCAGAAAGCATATGCACCATTCAGGAACACGGCATTTGGAGGATAAAGCACATAAGTTCTAAGTGATGTAGGAAGGTCAAAGCACGGGTACCATTTCAGTATATTCTATATTTATTAGACAAGATATTCAGGTCTTCACATACTATCAGGGCTAGTGGTTGTATATGGCCGTTCTTCCAGCTTCTGACACTACACTTCTTTATATTTACTGCGAATGAACCCTAAATCTAAATGAAAACTGATGTTCAGCCTCAAAATGTACACCCTGGAGGAAGGTACAAGTATAGGGTCTTGCAAAGGCTGCTGCCTGTTCGTGAATCTTGAACAGCTCATCCAAATTCTTAAGCCCACCCCTGTGGTTTAGACACCAGGTAATCGAGTTCCTGTGCGGGCACTTCAGAGAAATTTGGAGAAGTCTGGGGGGCCATCTTTGACATGACTCAGGAATGCTGGAAATACTGCTACTGAGACTAAAAGTTAAATTTACTGCGTTATTTAATATCCTAAAACAAAATAAAAATCTGCCACTGAAAAAATAAGACTAAATATTTGTAGTTAAGCATAATCAAATCTTCAAGTGTTTCCACAAAGGAAAAAAAAAACACACACAACAACAATAACTGGGAAAATTACTGCTGAATAAGCATGATTATATGAGAATAAAAATTATATGCAAGAGGGAGAATTTTGTCTTTAGTTCTCTATATATGGAGTTATCTCTATAGCATAAAGCTCTCTATTATAAGGTACTAATAAGTGCTATGAAATATTAAGAAAATCTATTCCTTTCCCCTGCTAGTTTATATTATTTGGAATTAAAGGAGAAAAACATAGTATTTAAATAGCACTCACATCAATACTTGTAAAAGATTTATCATAATCATAATTTGTTTTTAACTTTAGGTTATGGGAAAGTACACTAATTAGGAGGCATAAAAATACTCTTTGCTTTGCTTAATCTTCCTAGATGTCTGGTACAGATTAAGTCCTATTAATATAAACATTATGTGGGATGTCTACATATTTTTCATTATACTAAATTCCTATGCCCTAAAATTGCTAGGAATTAAAAGTATAATAGGATAAAATTGGGAAAATAAGAGTGCTTGAGATATACAAGGTTTAAAGATTTTTAATAATATTTTTTAAAGAGGATTTGCCTTCATTTAAAAGTTCTAACAGATTGATCTGAGTATGGAGACTAGGCCATTGCAATGAAACCCTTCCTTTCAGAATTGACAGCTTGTAGTGCCCTGCACTTGTCCCAATTTATGAAGACTTCAGTCTACAAAACAGTGGAGTATGGAATTTGTTTCTCTTCTAACAAAACTGAAGTAGTAGCAGCATCACACAGTTATACATTAAGGTGACTTAAAGTACACAAAAATACAACTATTTATGCCACACAGTGGTGTGAATACTATTCCTAAGAGACTTGAAATCTTTATTACTCAACTTCTGTCAAACACTTTGAAGCACAGAACTATTGTAAGAAAGCATGTGGCATCCAATCTCTGACAATTCGTCCCCAAAGAAGGCAAAGCACAACAATAACAAATCTCTGAAATGCAAATTCCATAAAGTGCAAATTTCCAGAACACGAAGTCTACCTAGAAACACATTTTAAATCTCAGTGAGTTCTCTTTGTAAATTAGTGAGCTCAGTAAATAGTATATCATTTTCAAGCAATCTGAAACAATTTTGCAATGTTTGTCTGTAGTCTAACTTTTTCTCCCTCATAAAAAGATATTCATTGGCTCATTTTCCATATCCAGTTTTCATATTTACTAGCTCAGAATGTCGAACCTCACAGGAATATTTCTCCTCTTCACATTTACAAATATTAGGTAGATTTTACTTAAATCTCATAATAAGAACACCATTAGTCATAACATTCTCTTATATTTAAGCTTAAAGTAAATCTGAACAGCTCAAAAGGGATACATTTTGAATCCTCCCAACCAGAGATTTGAGAATTAGTGCAACTTCCTTCGATTTGTCAAGTGAGCACTGTAAGTAAGCACACAAAGAGATAGTCATCCCAAGAACAAGGTACTATTTTTTGACGTTCTAACTCCACCTGTGCATAAGGAGGTGCAGAACCATGCTATCCAGGAGAACTTGGAGACGCCGAGGGTCTTAGACTGAGCTTGAAAAGGGAACCACCTGCTTTCCACACACATAAACCTCCTCAATATTCCGGTCATCTCCTGAAAGAAAAAAATCATGGAACCGTTTTGTGTCAATTAGTATTTTTAAAAATGTATGCAGTGTCCCCCCACTCCCAAATGTACACTGAGTAGCCAGATTATTATGACTCCGAACACACAATAATCTGGCCACTCAGTGTGTGTGTGTGTGTGTGTGTGTGTGTGTGTGTGTGTGTGTGTGTGTGTGTGTTAAAGGCCTGGTGCATAAATTCATGCATGGGTGGGGTCTGGCCAACCTGACCAGGAAAAGGGGATATGGTTGGTTGGCCGACCTGCCTGCTGGCTGAATTTTTGGTTGAGGAGACAATTTGCATATTAGCCTTTTATAATATAGGATATACACTGAGTGGCCAGATTATTATGCATTCAGAGATCATAATTTGAGGCCTGGGGTCTGAAATCTGCCGTGAAAGCAGAAATCACATAAAGTTGAGTTGACCCCTATCACTGTCCTTTCAGCTTAAGTGAGTGGTTTGCCTTTCTAGCCCCAAATGTAAATGAAGTGCTTAGCTTTACACTCCAGAATACACTTAGGTGGTGAGATGAAGGGTCTGTAAGAACTGAGCTCCACAGGAATACAACAAGTGTCTCTCCCACCACAAGTTCACTCAGGGCTCAGAGCACTGATATTAAAGATGTCCCCCATTTCTCCCCTTTTTGCCCATTCACCACCTAAGTGTATTCTGGGGTATAAATTTTTTTTTTTAAAGCAAAGCAAATGATCACACATAGGGTTTTACATGTGGTATCACAAATGCAGAGAGACATACCCAAGAGAGAAACAAAGAAAGATTTTATTTAGCATAGAGACATATTTCTACTTACCTTGATAGAGAAACTTCTGGATAAAAGCCTAAAATGAAAAATAAAGGTAATAATAATAAATAATTATTTTGTGTATTTGGAAAAGTAAACTCATAGTCAGTAGAGGGTTGGCAAAACCCAGAAATATAAATTCATTTCTCAATGGTAAAATCTACTTTTATTAATAAAAAAGAAGTGGTCTTTTGCTTTAAAAAAGTACTGGCTATTAACAAATGTTTATCTATTGCCTGAAAGTTCTTGGTATATAAAACATTGGAAACTTTAGAACAAAAGTGTTACATAAATTAATCTAATTAAATAATGCAAATATTTTAAGAAATGTATAATATAAGAAAAATGATTTGAATGAATATGGCTGAGCCCTATTCCAAGAAATCAGTTCTAATAAAGGAACAAAAGAATAAATAATATAAAAATAACAATTAACCTGAAATAACACAGCATCTTTCTTCTAAAAACCCCCAATGTGTTACATTTACATATTCATTTTCACAAGTGGATCAATTTATAAGTGGTAATTAATGTTTTTAGAAAAACTTGATGTCTTAAAGTAAGTAGAACCAGTTTATTTTTCTATACAGGGAAGCATTTTATAATAAAAAGAACAAAGTAATAAAACTCATTTTCTTATAATTAAGAAAATCAATGTAGCCTTCTGGTCAATCAACAGACTCTGGAAGCCATGAAGTCCCGGGCTTGAATCCCAACTCTGTCTACTAATTACTAATTACCAGCCATGGATCCTTAGGTAAATCACTTAATCTCCCTTAATCCACGCTGCCCCACAGACTACATGGCAATATAAATAGTATCTACCTTTCATAAGAGTTGTTTTGATCATTAAATAAAAGTTACGTATGTAAGTGCTTAATACTATACTATCTAGCACCTAGCAAGTGTATTCAACAAGTGCTAGCTATCTGATGGCTTCTTATAGTCCAGACCATTAAAATATGCAAATATATTCAAAATACAAATATTCTATTAGTACCATCATTGCTAACATTGTCATGAAATTATGTTAACTTTTAAAAATCTAACTTCCTCTCTTAAGAGTCTCTTGTATTCCATTAAAATGTTTGTTTCTATTTTGTTTTCTACAAGGAAGCTTCTGTGATTACTTCAGGAAATAGATGCCTTTTAACTTTTTTTTTTACTTACGTCAGAAGTTTCACCAAAATCCCCACAAAACAGGTCAATGGGAGAATCAGATGCTTTGGGGTTGATCAAGAGGGCATCAAATTCCTTGCCCACTTCAAAGTTTCCAATTTGTTTATCAAGCCCCAGTGCTACACAGTGGAATAAATTAATAAGCAGTTAGTATTTTGAGCCATCAGACAATGCCAATGTCCCAGTTTGTAAGGACAGAGTCAGCCAACATGTCATTAGAAAAAAAAAATATTTTAATAGTAAAGCATAAAATCTCTCTCATTCCAACAGATCACTGGACTTGGACTTATAAAAAACCGAGTAAGCACAGGGAAAGCAAATCTGAGAATAAAAAGTCCCCTTCAGAGAAACCAAGATGGCGGCCTAGGTAAGCACGTAAGCTGCCGCCTCACACAACAATTTCAAAACAACAACTAAAAGACAGAACAGACATCATCCAAAACCACAGGAGAGCTAGCTGAGTGGAAAAATCTACAACTAGAAAGAAGGAGAGAGGCTCACGGATCAGGGGAGCTGCAAAGCACTGAGGTCGGAAGACGCTCTTACACAGAGAGGAAGGGCAGCCGAATGCCTGGCTGGCAGGAGGGGAAAGGAAGCCATGACTGCACTAAACCCCAACCCCGTCTGAAACCTCATGGACCCAAGCTCCTACGGGTGGAGTCTGGACTATAGAGAAAAGCACCTAGAGACTCAGAGACTGGGAAACTCGGGGATCTGGGAGCCTCAGCAGGCAGGGTCTACAGTCTCCTGCGAGTGATTGTGCACAGAGTGGTCTGACACCAGATTGCTGCAGCCGCTCCATAGTGGAAGTAGTCAGAAGCTGCAGACTACAGAGACCCAACCCAATTCCGGGCAAGCCCCTGAGGCACCCATGCTCTTGCAGGGGGAATCTGGACTGTCAGGCAGAAACTCAGGGGAGCCACGAAAGGCCAGAGGTCTGAGGCGTGCACATAAGGGCAAGATTGACTGGAAGCCAGGACTGTTGGCTCAGCACTGAGACTCCACCCCATCCAAGCAGAGCACAAAGGCTTTTACAATTTTGCAAGTTTGATCCTATAAGACTGTCTCCAATACAGAAGGTATCCGGAGTAAACACAGCTGATACTCACATCCAATTGGCCTGGAGGTCAATTCCTCCCAGTGATACCAACAACAATCAAGAATTAACTACAAAAAGGCTGTACACGCAGTCCACAAAGGGGAGCATCAAGAGTGTCTACCTCAGATAACTGGGAGGCTGACCCACCGGGCCATATAGGACACCAAACACACAAAGCCATCCTACCAACTCAGGGAAGCAGCGAAAATGCCGAGACAAGGAAACATCTCAAATGAAAGAAATGGAGGAGAGCAAAAGACTGGACATAGAGTTCAAAACCATGGTTATAAGGTTTTTCAAGAATTTCCTAGAAAAGGCTGATAAATTTAACAAGACCCTCGAGGATATGAAAAAGGACCAACTAGAAATTAAACATACACTGACTTAAATAAAAAATATTTAGAGACTCAACAGCAGACTAGAGGAACACAAGAATCAAGTTAAAGATTTGGAATACAAAGAGGCAAAGGACACTCCTCTGGAGAAGCAAGAAGAGAAGAGAATCCAGAAAGTTGAAGATAATGTAAGGAGCCTCTGGGACAACTTCAAGCATACCAACATCAGAATTATGGGGGTGCCAGAAGAAGAGAGAGTGCAAAATACTGAAAACCTATTTGAAGAAATAATGTCTGAAAATTTCCCCCACCTGGTGAAAGAAATAGACTTACAAATACAGGAAGTGAACAGAACCCCAAATAAAAGAAATCCAAAGAGGACCACACCAAGACACATCATAATTAAAATGCCAAGAGCAAAAGACAAAGAGAGAATCTTACAAGCAGCAAGAGAAAAACAATTAGTTACCTACAAGGGAGCACCCATATGATTATCAGCTGATTTCTCAACAGAAACTATACACACTCCATACTGGGGATTGAGCCTGCAACCCATGTGCTCTGACAGGGAATTGAATCATGAGCTCCTGGTTCTTAGGTCAACACTCAACCACTGAGCCACACCATCCAGGTATATTTTTACTATTAGTATTATTATCATAATCTTCATCTTCACTTAGGGCAATAGAGTGTATTACTTGACTCAATGGAAAAACTGATTAAAAAACTTGTTTGCATGTGACCAATGCAAATAAATCCATTAAAATAATTAATATGGTAACTGTGTATTAAACATCTCTTCTGGAAAATAAAGGGAGCATCCTGAAAGAATTATGCCTCCACCACATGCTTGAGCATGGATTTATTCGCTAAGTTTGGGTATGCTATGTGAGATACCACCATCATGAATATTGGATGCCTACTGATGCCACTATCATGTACCTTCATAATGCATCCAAGGACACAAATTGGCATGGTTGTACATTGTTAGAGGAAAAAAATGGTTATTACCTTGGCTGCCTCCGAGAGTCGCTAGTCTGAATACCTCTTTGAGGGTTAGGCTTTTCTCATTTTCCTTAGTAATTACAAGGGTATTGGAAACCGCCACTGCTCTTCTGATTGCATCAAGCATGGAATAGGAATAACCACCAGCCACATCTATGATAGATAAAATAAAGCCAGAACAGTAACCTTATGAGATAAAGGGAATATTAAGTATACAACGTTAAATTTTTAAATTTTATTTTTCAGTTACAGTTTATAGTCAATGTTACTTTGCATTGGTTTCAGGTGTACATTATAGTGGTTAGACAATACTATACATTCCAAAGTGCTACCCCTGATATTTCAAGTACCCACCCAGCACCACACATAGTTATTACAGCATTATTGACTATATTCCCTATGCTGGACTTTATAGCCCATCACTATTTGGTAACAACCAACTATTAATAGGTCGAGTGTTTTGTTTGTTTTAGTGACAGATATTTAGTCTCTAATATACTTCAAAGAAAATATCTATTACACCCAGACTAGTCATAGACTAACATGTAAAAGAATTAAAAACCTGTAATTAGTATCAAATGTGCAACAAGTTACCACAAATTTGGTGGCACAGGATAGCAGGAATTTATCCTCTCACAGCTTTGGAGAGCCGATGTCATTCATCAAAGTGTCCACTGGGCCACGATCTCTATAAAGGCTCCGAGAAGAATCTGTCTTTGCTTCCCTCAGTTTCTGGCGGCTCCTGACAGTCTTTGGCTTTGGCAGTGCAACTCCAATACCTGGTTCCACCTTCATCTGTGTCTTCCGTCTGTGTCTTTAAGTGTCTCTCATTTTCTCTTATAAGACATCCATCATTGGATTTAGGAAACAATTTATTGAGAAAATTTTGAGAGCTGTCTTATTATGTTCCTGCCTTACAGGGTGACTTAATCATCCTCTACTCTTCTGGTTGTTATGTTAATAAAGTTCCAACAAAGGAACGATATTGTGCATATCAGAAAAAGAAACCCTGGACTACATAAACCATAGTGTTTTAGTCAAACTTTTCTTCCAGGGATTTCCATTGTGATAGTAACTTCCTGATGTCTGCCCGGCTGGGTGAGCTGAGTGGCTTCTCCTCCCTGCAGCACATTAGTACAGGTAGAATCCCCATTGTATCATATAACGAGAGGCCGTGTGATGGTGTGAAAAGAGAGATAATGAATATCACATTTTGCAGACCTGGTTTTAGACTGTGGATCTGGAACTTTTTTGTTTTGTTGACCTTTGGTCAGTTACTTAGTACCTGTGAACCTCAATTTTCTCAGAAAATAGAAATAATATCGTCAATTTTGACAGTTGCTGGAAAAATCCAATTGAGAAACATAAGTGCTAGGGAATGAGGATTTAAGGGTAGAAACTGCAATGGGAAATGATGGAGAAAAAATGGATGTATTTTCTCAGAAATATATTCCCAACCCATGCCTCTCTATGGTCATGTTAAAGAATGGCATTGTCATTTGTTTACCAGAGTCAGCACAAGGATACAATATTTACAAGAAGACTCTAAACAAACCATACAACAGTAAAAATTTGAGCCAGAGGGCAATGAAAAGATAAAAGGAAATGATTTTATATGTGTGTGTTTACTGCTTAGGCATTCATTCATTTATTGAGAGTTACTTACTGAGCATCTTCTATGTGTATATGTACTCATAAATACAACTGATGGGCTCCGTATGAGCTGACCAGCTAGTGGAGGAGGAAGAAAAGAGACAAATAAACAAGTATTAACTATAAATTGTGTTCAGTTAGTGATAGAGAAGATGGAAGTAGAAAGCTCATTTAGACAGAATGGTCAGAGAAGACCTCTTCAGGGTACTGTATTTTCCGGCGTATCAGACGACTTTTGAAACGAAAAAAAGTCAACCGGGCTTTTTCAGTGGTCTGAATTCAGGTCTCAGTAGAGGGAACAGAGAAAAGAGGACGGATAGAAAGCACCTCACTTGGAAATCTAGGATGGCACTATACCACCGCCCTAGCAGGCTTTTTACTAGAACACAGTGTAGCTTCGGGTACAGAACATGTATAATTTGCCTGCATAAAAGCCTGCTTGGATTGGCCAGAGTCAGAGAGGTGGTCTATTAAAAAAAAAGAACTGGTGTTGCCTCGGAAGTGGGGGTTAGTCTTATACAGTGAATATAGGCCTAAACCTATGTTTTAACTGTAAAATTAGGGGGTCGACTTATAGGCCAGAAAATATGGTAATAGCATTTTAACTAATACTGAAATGAGAACTAAGCCATGTAAAGAGAGGTATAAAGGGCATTCCAGGCAGAGGAACAGAATGCATGGAGATTGTTTTGGTAGAGGGAGTAAGATTCATAAAGGGAACTGAAAGATAGCCCATGTAGGGAGGTGAGAGTGTTGGGAGAAGAGGCTGGGAGATGGGTGGGTGTCAAATGTGCAGAGCTTTGTCACCTTGAAATGAGGTTTGCACATTTCAAATCTCTCTGAAGGGTGGTAAGGAGGAGGTGAAATGGCCATAGTTTTCATTGAGATTCTTTTGAAAAGAGAAGACTGGATTAGCCCAGGATAAATGAGATGTATTAGGAAGCTAGTGCAAAAGTTCATGCAAGAAATGATGGTAGCTTGCATTAGGGATTGGTGGCTGATGTGGAAAAAGAGTATAGATTCAGAGGCCGTAAAGGAGTCATGAGGTTAGACATGGTACTGGCTTAGACATGGGGGAGAGGAGAGAGAGAAGAAAAAGACAGTGCTCAAGTTTTTACTTTGAGAAACTGAATTCTCTGGGGGGGAAAAAAAGAGCTATTTAAAATAACCAGGCTTAAACGTGTTTTGGGATACAATGAACTTTGGAGAATCTAGGAGGAGGGTGTCAAAGAGGAAGGGGAAACTAAGCAATTGAAAATACAGGTTTAAAATTCAAAGAGAAATCTGAGCTGGATATAAAAATCTGAGTGATTTGCTCACATGTAATCATGTAAAGCCGTAGTTGTGAACTAAGTCTCTTAAGAAGAAAGCATAAAGTCAAAAGAGGAGATAGCCTAGGACTGAGCCGTGAATGGCCAGGGAGAGGAGAAAGGGTGTTCAGAGAAGATAAGGGCTGGTGAGAGAGGAAGAAGGGAAATGTGTGGTTCCACTGAATCCGATATAGGACTGTTTAGACAAAGGAGAGAGTAGTCAACTATGGCAAATAATGATCAGAAATCCAGTATAATAAGTACAGAGTGGTGTCCTTTGGAGTTGAAAGCAAGAGATCACAGGAGTAATAGCTCAAGGGAGAAAGGACAAGGATCATTACCATGGATGGTGGGGCAAAACGCCAGCCTGGAAAAGCCAGCCTGAAGTAGGTGAAGGAATGAAGAGTGCTTAGAAAATGGTAATGGTTTGGGTCCCCACTCTTTAAAGAAGTTTTGCTTTGAAGGGGAATAGAGTGGTGGGGTAGGAGCCAGAGGGGGGTATCTGATTAAAAGAGAGTTTTGTTGTTGTTGTTGTTGTGGTTGGTTTGTTTGGGGTTTTTTTGTGTGGGTTGTTTTTTTTTGTGTGTGTGTGTGTGTGTGTGTGTGTGTGTGTATGTGTTTACATTTTATTGCTTAGAAGATACTAGGGGATATGTGTGTGCTGTTAGGAATGGTCCAGTAGTGAGGACATAATGATGCAGGAGAGTTAGTGGTCAAAGGAATTAATTTATTGAGATACCAGGAGAGAGAGAGAATACAAAATACACTTCAGGGTATTTTAGGTTTTTAGGTTTTGCCTTAAATTGAAGGAGGGACTTTTGGGAGGATAGGCTGTTATGAGTAAAGTGGTATAAACACTCGTGTACAACTCTTTTTGCAAACATACGTGTTCATGTCTCTAGTGTAAATTCCAAAATGGAATTACTAGGTCATATGTAGATTTATATTTATTTTTTTAAGAAACTGCCAATGAGTTCTCCAAAGTGGATGTGCATTCACCCTCCCTCCAGCTGTGTATGAGAGTCTACATGTATCTTATTCTTTTTTTTTCTTTTCAGTTTAAAATTTTTCTTTTTCATAACAAATTGTGGTTTTTTCATAGTGCCATGTCTTCTTGTACTACAAGGATGATGGTAATGTTCTGAAATTTTCTTCTGGGTCCTAAAGTAAGTCATTGGCAGAAATATGCTCATCCTTTGATTCTTTTTGATACTGTTTTCTCTTGCTTTGCAATATGTTCATTAAGCTTCTTATAGATTTCCTCTAATATGGAGCAAGTCAGGATCTGCCTACACTTGATACAGATACGGTGAATGACCTGCTTTTGGAGCTGCTCTCTGTCAATTATATCAGTTTAAATAATATTCTAAAGTCTACAGATGGAGTGCAAATTCATACACAAAGGTCACGTTTAGGAAATAGTGGAGCATAGAGTGGCTACCACAGCAGAGATGATGTGAAATGCATTCTTCAACTTAATAAGCAAATACATCACATTTAAGCAAACATTTGGTCAATATACCAACATCACTCTTTCCCTTGTAAGCCAATCTTTATTGACTAGTACATGTCAGATGTTTTTCATTTAAGCCTCAAAATAAGCTTGTAAGATAGCTATCGTTATGATTGTTGTTACAGAAATTAGGAATTTAAAACTAAGAACATTAATTTGTTCAATGTTTTACAGCTAATAAGTGACAGTGAGAGCTTTACCTAATTGTTCTAAGCTATTACTACACAATTAAGAGCCAAGAACTAGAAGTTAGGTGATGAATTTAAGTCATAGAGACCAAACTCCCAGGAAATTAGAAAGCAAACCCCTACCTTGTTTTGCATGTCTGCTAAATTTTCAATTAATTGACTATATGTAACAAAAACTCTTGGCTATTTTTTTCCTTATCTATTAAAGCTTTTCTGTTAAGGTAAAACAACCAGTTTCCTGCCTTAGCACCTGTGACTATATCCAGGTATTACATAATCTCAGCGATTCAAGGCTTGAATTAGAATTTTAAAAATATATACCTAATTCTTTTTAATTCATGTAAAATTAAGGAAAACTTCTACATTAGCATACCTATTTAAAATATGAATAAATCTCTTTGTGTTATTGTGTGTCTTACCAAGAAATTGCTTGGTATAAATTTAACTGAGACTTGAGTTATTCCTGATTATTATTGTCAACAAGCAAACATTCCCATGCTCTTGAATATCAGGAGGACAAGTACATCAAGAATAGAAAATAAGTCCTTGTGCCCTACACCCACTTAAAAAGAAATGTATGTCTTATCTTGTTTGGCTCAGCAAATAAAGCATTGACCTGCAATCTGAAGGGTCCCAGGTTCAATTCCAGTCAAGAGCACATGCCCTGGTTGTGGGCTCAATGCCTAGTAGGGAGTGTGCAGGAGGGAGCCAATCAATGATTCTATCTTATCATGGATGTTTCTATCTTTCCCTCTCCTTTCCTCTCTGAAATCAATACAAATATATATATATATATTTATTTTTTTTTAATTTTAGTTCATTTACAACAATAGTAAAAGGTTTGTAGTTGCTACACCTAGACAGTTGGCTCTGATGCATGCTTTCAAAGTTAGTAGCACTGCACAAATTCAGGGGAAAAAATCATTAAAAAAGAGTCACCCTTAACTTATTAGTCATTGAGAATGTCCTTCAGCTTAGCAAGCATCAGACTGCCCGTGGGAATGGAATCTTATTTTGCTATACACTGCTTACAAGGGAAGCAAGTTCTTAACATAACTCAGAGTTCTTGATACTGGCATGAATTGAGTCTGCACTTGCTATGGCAAGGCCAAGTAATTTTCTTTTGAGACAGTATTTGTGATGGCACATTTATTGAAAACTAAAAACATACAAATCCAAACTATTAAAGCCTTGCCAGAAGAACAAAACAAAAGAGAAAAAAATCAAGGACTTCTTTAAATGAATCTCTAAAACACTAGAAAAGGACCTATCCTTGAGAGCAAGCATATCAAGTTCAAAGACTAACATGAGCCACATAAATGAGGCATGTGGGCCATGGGCCACGAGTTTGACATGCTTGCTTTAGAGCCTCTGACAATAAATGCACAGAACAGCTTTCAGAAGCTTAGTGACATAAAAACATCTTCCTTTGCATATATCTTCTCACGGCTCCCACTCTCACTATTTTATTAGCTCAAGATATTGTTACCAGAAAAATGAAACTAATTTTTTAACATGGAAATGCAACCTGAAAATTAGTCACTCTAGAAAGTTATGCACGTAAGCAACCACTTAGCCATGGCCCCAAAAGGTGCGCTACTAACCTGTGCCGAGCCCTATTTTCACATCATGTTTCAGCACTTCTAGCACATTGAGTAAGCCGCTGGTGAGCCTGCAGAGAGAGGAGACTGTCAGAACCAGGAGGCCATTGTGGGCCCAACCAGAGCGGCACCCCAACAATAGTGGTGGAGATGTCGCTGAAACTTGTGTTCTCCATCACATCAGCTCTAATGCTGACACACACACACTCATCAGATCAGAACAGCTGATGAAAACAGACCACAGAGGAGCCTAACTCCTGGCACAGAGGTTACTAGTAATCTTAGGAGGGTACAAAGAAGCAAGAGCAAAAACAGGAAGCAGGGGATTGTTCACATGGAAAAACAAATGAAGAAATGAAATCTTGCAATTAGTCCAAAAGTCTTACCGGCAATATATATATTTTAACCAACCCATCCTCCTATGTTAGGAAGTAGAAATGATAAAGCTTTGTCTTTCCTCTCCATCTCAGAGAATCTGTTACCCTGAATGAGTAGTGACTTTCAAGATCAAAGAAAGGGAGTATAACTGGAAAAGGGGGTGCAGGCTGGTGGGTCCAGGCCTGCCAGTTCAAATGAGGCCCCTGAGGACAGCAGAAACTAGGAGAGATGGTTCCTGTGCTGAATTCTGGACCTTGTGGCCCTGAGCTTAATAGAGATGCACTTTTCTAGAGGAACGAAGAAACTAAAGTGGTCCTTAGAAGTCTGAGAAGATGCAAAGGTCAAAGTGGTCCGCTCAAAGACACACATGGATTATAATTTTCAAAACTGCAATGTACACACAATAAAACTCTCAAAGTTGTTGGGGAAAGGATAACAGTGGCCATGTAAACAGAAATGTATCCATAAAGAAATTTAACTTCAGACCCTAATTTGGATCACGTTTCAGTTTTGACGTTGTGTAACTAAAGGAAAGGGTGTTAAACCCTTCCCCTCTCCGGCCACTGGGTCATAATTGTGATCACTAAGCTGTATATGGGCAGAATTCCCTGTCATGCCTTACCACGCGATGTCTCAAAACTGGAAGCCTCTGGAACCCCTCAGAACACCCTGGAAATAAATTGCTGTGTTTCTCGTGCCTTTCCATGCTGCCAGTGACATAAGTATTTCATTCATGAGGTCCCTAGACTTCTAACTGCCAACACCTCCAACTCTTTGCCGAGGTCTCTCTTCAGCCAGTAGAGTCTGCTCTGCCCTGGTTTGGGGAAGGTCAGAAACTCCAGGAAGTCAATGCTTCTTCACCCCACACAGCGGTACCCCAACAATAGCTGATGGGTGTTTGGGTATAACCACCTAGGTGCCCCACCCCTTGGGCAGAATGACTTGGAGGTCTGCTTTGGACACTGACTTCTTGGGATTTCCAGAAGGGTTAGACTCCGGGAGCCCATACTGGTAACTTGGTTAATGGTGCTCTCTTTTCTGACTTCCTTCTCTGCTCTGTCTTACCCCCATACATGTGTTTTCTGAGATCACCTCCCCACTAAGATGCTTGTACATGAATCTTCGTCTCATGGAATACTTCTGCAAGAACTCAAAACAAGAGTAACCTGGAAAAAATGAAAATCCACCCCACCCGCCTCTAAGAGGAAGCAGCTCTCTCTGTTCTGGGTTGACTAATACCAGAAAGGAGAGCGCCTTCCTGTATCTAATCCTGGACCATGAATTCTTAACCTAGCATCCATGGGTCAGCATCAGGGGGTCTATGAATTCCCTGAAATTAGGTGCAGCCTGTTTTTATCTCTGGACTTTTTTCCCCCTGAAGATACATGCCATAACTCTCATCTGATTCACTTGTGAGTATATAACCTTTCAAAACGTTAAGAACCCGTTATAAATGAAGCTTTTGCATTCTGGTGAACCATGATAGGGCAAGGTCGCTCTCACGTGAACTGGCATCCTGCCCAGTCCAGCAGGTGACATATGCCGCATGTAGGGTGTTAAATCCCAGCAGCACTGCATCATTTCTACCAGCGTGAGTGTTTCTAGCAGTTTGCACAACCCAGCATCATGGGAAGTGAGCCCCTCTCCCTGGAACACCTGCTGGAGTATGTGCCCCTCAGGCCCTGCTGTCAGTTCTGAATGCTATTGGTTCTGAACTCCTTCTGTGGTATTTCCACTTTCCTGTTTTGCACAAACTCAGAAATTTTAAGAGATGTGGTGTTCTTCAAAGACATACTCTGAAAAAAAAAATGCCCTGTCAAGTGCTTTTTTCTCCTCAGACACAAAGGGATGCACTTATCTAGTTCTCATTCCAATCAAACATAACTATAGAAGGGAGATACTGAAGGAATGACTCCAAAAACAAAGGCTGCAACTCAAACGTTCATCATCTATCAATCAGTCATTGCCTACTTACGATATATTAGAATTGGGACAATGTGCGATCGCTGCTCCTCGTTCCCTGAAAACATCCAGTTCTTCTGCAGAAAGGTAGCAGCCATGTGCCATCACTGTCTGGAGAGAAGAGTGTCCTGAGTGGGGTTTACCGCTTAAAAATGCTTCATTTAGTCCTCACTCACAACAAAGAGAAGCTGTGACACCTAGACCTGCTCGCATGTGCATGAAGATGTCCGTAAGCATCTTCACAAGAACGTTTATGATTACCTGTCTGTATAAAATCACACAGTACAAGTCACATCTCAAAAAGGCCTGGAAAGACATTGGATTACAAAAGTTTCAGCACATGTGGAGATCTTATCATTTTCTTATTCTTTTTTTTTTAAATCTATAAAATAAGGAAAGTTGATCCAGGTCATCTACAGCATAGAACACCCATCCATTTTGAAGATATTGTGATTCCTTCATCTCCCCTTTAGAAAATAGCCAAGTTACTTTCCTTTCTAAATCTAGTGGGCGTCTGGTGGGGCTGTGCTTGTTCCTATTCTAATCAGAGCTTTCCAGAAGTGAGCTTTCCTTTCTCGGCACATGGAAGCTGTGGGAGGGATCCTGGAAGGAATTGTTCTTTCATTCTACCCCACGTTAGATGGAGGAACTATGGACCTGACACCTAACTGAACATGCTTCCGTTATTTTATTGCCTATATTTACATTTTCATAAAAAATAAGAAATGTAATATCTTATATGCATGAATTCAGAAGGTAACATTGATCCAAGAAAGCAGGAACTGCACACATAAGAGACATCTCTTCATTTTCAGGCTTGGTAATATTTGTGAGTTTTCCTGAATAAGACTTTTCTCTTTCAAAATTCCTTTGTCCTCAGCATTGATTAGCTTTGTTCTTTAGGAAGCATGATTTGTCAGGTAATTATTATTAAAATATAATTTTCAAAACCTCTGTGCAGAGCAAAGGAACATGCAGATTGAAGGTTAATGTATTAATCATATGGAAATATATGTTATGGAGGATGAAAATTAAAGTGCAGCATGGATAAGATTTATGCAGAACATTAGCCTTCCAAATTAGTCATAGCCACATTTCCATTCACCAAGTCCCTAAGAATTTATTTTCTGCCATAGCTAAGGCCAAGGCCAAAGGGTATCTTGTTCTAATGAGCTCTCTGCTCACTCACATTAATTTTAATTAACTTAAAATGGTTTAATTATAAAAACAATACACACTCATAAAAGCAATTTCAAAGTGTTTAAAATTACAAAGTAAAAAGTCCTTCTGCTTTCTCCCTCTGGGAGAATAACCTTTAACATCCAATGTTTGTCTTCCATGCAGTTTTTCCAAGTAAGCACGCACCCACACATATACACAGAGACATCAATCTTATAAGCATATGTGCCTCATTCTCTGTGAATGTTGGATAAAATTATAATTATGTAAATTCTATCATCTCAACTATCCCCTGTGAGAGCCATTTTTTAATTTTCATATGTAATTAACATTCCTATTCATATTTCTTGCAGAATGGATCCTCAGATATGGTCTGCTAACTCAAAGAAATGTACAGTTACATTCTAATAAATACTGACACAATGTCCTTGGACCAAATGACCAAATTCCCACCCTCAAGGAAGCTTTTATATTTATTCACCAGGATGAGAGTTCAGGCCCATTTTTAACTATGTACATCCACACATATGCATGCTCTAAGCTTTAGTCTGGGAAATGCACACGTCATAGAAGACTGAAGAGCACTACTGAGATCTTAGGATTTAGATGAACACGCCCCATTTGACACAGATCATGTCATGAAATGCAACTTACCTTATTTGTCAGAAGATTGTTTTTATCATACACATCTGTATAGTTTTTATAACTGGGGTATAAGTTTTCCACAGCTTTAATTTCATCAGGATTTTCACTTATATGGCTCTACAAGAAAAGAAATAATATTTTCAATTTTTGAGGTAAAATACCACTAGAAATTATACTTCCTATCCTAAAATGTTATGGATAGTTTCTAACTTGTTGATGTGAGGGGCCATATGGAAAGGCAATAAAGACTGTACATGTGTTTTATTTAAAGCAATCATGTGACAAAGAAACTATAAGGATCTAACCCATGTAATGTTCCAACAAGTCTTTTCAAATTCTAAACTATAGTAAGAACAAACAAAAATAAAAATTATTTCTTAAAGAGAGTTAACAGCCAGCAATTTGTGGTCACCTATTTCTTCTGCTGTTTGTTGTCCTTTAAGAAAAGAGGCCATCAGTAGGACAGATGGCATCTTTCACTCAGAAGAAAACCGGGTTTGGATAAATAGAGCTGAATTTTAGAACAAGTTCTGACCCTAGTCATGGGTCTTAGGGCGAGTTAGTTCTTTTATTTAGGACTCCATTTCCTTATTTCTCAAATAAAAGGGTTTGCTGGATAAGCAATTTTTCAACTTTTTTTTTTTTTTTTTTTAGCTTTGACCATGTTATTCTGATAAAAATTCATGGTAATCCAATATGTAAAAGGCATAAACAAGTTGCCTCTTAGAATGCAGTAGGGTTGGGACTCTGTTTCCATTCTGTCCCCTTTTTAGGCTTCCAGAATGAGTTCTTCTGCAGAAAACAATTGGAAAATAACAGAGCTAGACACTCCTGCAGCCAACAAGAAAGAGCCCGTGAGGACTCACATGCAAGCAAAACAAGAGAGTCCCGGTTCCCACACCGACCTCTCTCCAGGCACCACAAAACAGGTGAACACGTGAAGTGTTTCAGAGACAAACCTACCCTTAGCCTAACACAAAAGTCATTTCAGGCCAACTGGTGGTGAATATATATTATGGGAAACTCATGAGCAAGCTATCACTTCTAAGAATAGCAATGCCATTTCCCTCTCTCCACGAGTATAGCCAAATAAATCATAAGGAGTGTGTGTGTGGGGGGAGAAACAGCAATATTCTAAAAAAACAGTCTCCCACCTATGGGATGAACTCCATCCTTGTCCTCGAGAAAAGCCCAGACCAAGAATGCATGGGCACCAGAAGAAAGAACAGCCAGATGATGTGCGTCATTTTGATAAATGTGAGTAAATACACATACAGACAGACATACACCCCAAGCAAGGATATACTAGCTTTTGCTGTGTGTTGATGGGGTTCAGTATATACTGCTCCCAAATATGGCATCTCGTTGTATTGAAAAATGCCATCTTAAGGTAAAGGAGTTTGCAGAAGCAGGAAGGTCACTCTGGTGTTTCTCTCACCCTTCCTTCCCCGAAACAGGTCATAAAACCCACATGTGAGAGTGCCTGCCCTACACCTGGAGGAAAAAGAGCATCCTTGTCTCTAATGGCGAAGGGAGCCAAGAAGAAGCGGAACAAAAGGGCTTGCTAAGTTTCCTACACTTAGCTCATATCCCTTACCCTATCATATTCCTCCACCTCCGTGCATTCTTCATCAAACCTGTAATGTTCAAAAATACTCAGGTCTGACCAATTCTCTGTGTTTTCCTTCCCAGTGAAGGGTCCTGTGTCATGTAAAACTTACATTAAATACATTTGCATGCTTTCCTCCTGTGAATCTATCTTTGCATTTAGTTTTCAAAGCTAAACAGGAACTCCAAGAAGGCTGGAAAAAAATATTTCCCTCCCCTACAACTGTGAAATTAAATTTTAAAAAATCCAAATATCCCAGGCTGTAACATTTCCCCCACCCCTCTACATACACACAAACAGACAGAAAGAGAATGGGGAAAGATGAGAATGGTGAATGAGACCTATTAAGATACATCTTAAAAAAAACACACACACACAAAAAAACAAATATACCACCCTCTACCCTAAAACTGATAAAGAATCAATGTGTTACCTTTGCCCTGGCTTGCCCTTTGTTATAAGATAGTCAGCTCTTGCCAGGGGAAATTTTACTGCAGTATGTAATGAAGTTTGGATGGAGGAAGGCCAGTTCCCAACTTCCAATTTTAACCCAGCTGGAAGCTTTAAAACGTGTTTTATTCCTAAGTTGCACCTGCTTAATGACAAAATAATATACACTTTTTTTCTTCCTGGTTTTAAATGAAGAAACTTGGAACAAAGGGAGTTTTAAATGCATTTTGTAAGGTGGAAATGAGGTTCTTATTCTTTTTTAAATAATAGGTGTTTCCTTCAAAAATGAAGGGCTCGAACGCTGAGAAAGCATCAAAGGAAAGAGAAGCAGAAAAGAAATGCATTAAATGTATCCTGCAGACAACTGGGAGCCAGTCTGCCTTCGACCTTGCTGGATCACTTATGATTGCCTCATCTCTGCAAGCCTGATCAGAGATGATTGAGAGGAAATGGTGCTTCTGGTTTCTTAGCTGAAAAATTAAAGAACTGGACTTAGGTACCTGATACCTGTAAGGTACCTTCCCTGTCCCATAATGCTGCACCTCTAGATCTCAGTAGAATTAGAGATTGCCAGAATGCAGGATAATGAGAAGCCTCGCAGGTCTGGCAGAAGCACAAACAAGAGAAAAATACCCACCTGAATGTGCAAATCACGGGTCTTCGCGATGTTTCCAAGTTCGGTCAGCATCGTCTCAGAGCAGGAAAGGGCAAAACGTGGTGTCACTATGGGCTTCACTCTAGAATACTGTAAATAGTAAAACCAGTGGATAAGGGAACTGTTGATACCCTGAATGTGTAGCATGCCCTGAATGCATATCTTACATCTGGGTAATTTTATGTCTTGATATGTGGGGACAGTCCTCCTTTCTAGGAGTGGGTGGAAGTGCTGGGTTTCATGGAAATGGCTCATGGCTGAGGACAAAGCAGAGTATATTCTGTAGCACCACGTTCAATGGAAGGAGAGGTTGTCCCAAATATTAGCCACCCCTGCTCCACATCCACAGCAGGACTCCGCCGAGGCCTGCCCTGGTGGCCTCCATTCAGAGAAATGAGAGGCAGCAGGAGGACTTCAAAAGGAGAGATCTGGGGACTGGAAGGGAGGCAGTGGCCTATTCCCCTTTCTATGTGCTGGCCATGGCATCCCCAAGGACTGTTCCTTAGCAGAACTGGCTTTGATGTCACCTGAAGTGAGGGTTTGAGCAGGAAAGAACTTATGGAGAGATGGAGAGAATAAGGGCCCACAAGACACCTAAGTCTCCCAAGATTAGATGGGAAGAAATTCCGATCTTCCCTGTCGTTTCCTATCAGACCTCAAAAGATGGGAAGGGAAGGGTCTGGCAATTAAAGCGATGGCACCAGGGAACCACAGCCTGCTAGAGATGGAGGCAGAAAGCAGCACTGCCCTCCTAGGCTCACCCACACCAGGTCCTGCAAAGGGGAGTGCCTGGATGAGTGCCCGCAGGCCATGTGACATGCCACACATACATATGTGGACAAAGGCAGCCTGTGGCAGGGGCATCTGGGCTGGACACCACCTGTGTTTCAGATCAGATCCAGTAGGCCACCGCCATTATCAGCACAGCCAGCACACATCAGGCTTCAATTTCCAGTTGCTACCAATCTGTCCACAGCCATGGAGCCTACCTCCACCTTCCCACAGATTAGCCCCGTGAAATTAGACGGTCCCAAAGTAGAGGAAGAGAAAACCACCAAGAAAGCAAAAAGAAAAATGCTTGACCTCACTGAGCTGAGTTGACAGGTCCTCTGTGAAAACAACTCGAGGCTCGAGGAAAATACTTCTGCATGCATGGAGAGAAGCCAAATGCACCCAGACCATTCTCTGCCAAGCAACTTAATAACCAATCCTACGACTAAGACAAAGGCAATCAAAAAAAAAAAAAAAAAAACAAGCTGGAAACAAGTTGACTTACGTTCTTTCGGAGCATTTCTGACACGAATCTGAAATAAGTCAACAAATGGGAAGTTAGGAGATTTAGGCATTAAAAAAAATTATTTTTAAAGATGTGAACATGAAATTTCCATGACCTATTTCCCATGCAAACACTCTAACACTGCACATGTTTCACCACACTAATTAATGATGAACAAGCAGTAATTACTCTGCTTTCTCGTTTGCAGAGATGGAGTGCAAAATCACAGAGAAATGCAATGCTGTCATCTAACGTCATCTGGGCTGTTCATGAGTATTCCCACAGCACCCAAGCCATTCCACCAGCGTAAGTTCCGGTTTGGGGAATATTGCAAAATGTGATGTTCCAGGGATGTTAGAGTCCCTAAATGGGACTGGAGATATTTAGAAACTACGGGGCTCTCCACTCTCAATTTCCCTACAGTAGAAGCTACTTGTTCACACTATGTCACCCTTTATTTCCACTGGGATTCTGGAGTAAGGTAGAAGGCAAAGGGTGTGAAACGGTGGTGATGGGGGTGGTGATCTTTCCAATTGCATGTGCAGGGATGGTGGTCTCTGCATGACCATAAAATGATTAATTCTGCCCTGGCTGGGAATATTTATTAGCTAGGCTTCCTGTCTTCTGGAAGTCCTTTTTCCTTTGTTTCAGAATAAAATGTGAATTCAGGTTTACTGTGACCACAAACACACAGTCACAGAAAAGCTGAGCTGATGGCCAATGCTAAGGCGAAGGGGCACGCTTCCTTTTCTCTGGGGCAGGTGGCGACTCCTGAGCCTCCCTTTTCAGAGGTAAAGGAGGTCTGGGGAAATCAAGAAAAGTGGGGCTTCTAAAATTTGCATTGGGACATGTTTGGTCTTGGGGAAGATTTAAATCTAAAGAAATGTCTTCTATGTTGGGTGTTGAGTGTCATACAGCACAATTCCTTGTCAAATCCTCAAGGCACCATGAAAAAGCCATTAAAGAAATGCAGAAAAAGTACTTATAGGATCAGTAGGATATGCCAAGGTAAGATAAAGAGTTCAAACCCGTGTTGCTTAAGAGTCAACTATAGCTTAAAGAGCAGGCCACACACACACTTAAAGCAAGTCCAACCTATAGGAGAAGACCAGATCTATAATAAAGGAGAGGGAGAGTGTAAATCATTCACTTCAACAAAGAACTCCTCATTTTACAAAGGGGCTTATTCTAGCACTCTTATAACAAGTTCCCACCCAGCTAGCGTGGCTCAGTGGTTGAGTGTTGACCTATGAACCAGGAGGTCATAGTTCAATTCCCAATCAGGGCACATTCCTGGGTTGCACACTCCGATTCTGCAGGAGGCAGACAACCAATGATTCTCTCTCATCACCACTGTTCCTATCTCTCCTTTCCTCTCTGAAATCAATAAAAATATATTTTAAAATAATACACATACGAGTCCCAAGAAGCTTTAAAATATAATTTGGTATATAAAAATAGTATTGAATGCAATTTATTTTTTTAGGACCAGACCAATTTCATAAAGTTGGGCAAATCCACGCTGGAACGTGTGCACATCCTGCCTGGTTCAGAGAGGTTTGCTCTCTCAATCTCCGACTTCATCATGCAGCAGAAGGACTGCTCACAAGACAAATCGAGATGAACATACCTCTCTGTTTCCTTGCTTGATTCCTCAGTGGTTTCCTTGTATTCTGGGACAGTGTCATTCATATCCATGCAGACTTTGCCCACAAATGCTCGCTGCCCAAATTTATCTGTGAGGCACACAGAAAAAAGAACTTCAAGTCATGTGTCTTTCCCACATAGCACCTTCTCTGAGCCTTTCAAAAACATGTTTACATTAAAATCATTATGAGCCGAGACCGGTTTGGCTCAATGGATAGAGTGTCGGCTTGGGGACTGAAGGGTCCCGGGTTCTATTCCAGTCAAGGGCATGTATCTTGGTTGTGGGCATATCCCCAGTAGGGGGTGTGCAAGAGGCAGCTGATCGATGACTCTCTCTCATCGATGTTTCTAACTCTCTATCCCTCTCTCTTCCTCTCTGTACAAAGTCAATAAAATATAAAATAAAATCATTATGAAAACATAGGTGAGAATATGAAAGATTATTATTAAGAACAATAAGAATAACAAAACCCCATTAAGTTCTATAAGTAGTAAATATTCTTCCACCCATTACATCAACCACCCCCTCCCCAACTCCCACTTCTAGGCTGGCCAGGTAATAATTGGGTGTTTTTACTTATTATTCAGTTTTTTTCTTTTTTTATACAGTTTGTCTATATTTTTACTCAAATCTTAACTATCCTTGTACCCATTTTATTGCCTAGAAAAGAGAGGGCAGCCTCAGACCTGGTGTAACACTATTTGACCTTGCCACCTAGCTTCTTCTCTCTTCTCTTTTTTCCAGGCTCCCAATCTCCTTTCTGTCTTCTACTCTACCACTGTCCTGGGGATTGAGTCCTCCTTATGCTCTCCCTCTGTTTTACAGAAAAAGCAGCAGTGCCTAGTGATAAGGAAAGGGCACTGGAGTTATACAGAATTGGTTGGATTTGACTCCTTATTCCAAGATAGTGGATATTATTTGCTTAAGGTCTAAGCCTATATGTGTCCAGTGTCCCATACTATGTGCAGGGTTAGAAGGCATATACCTACTTTTATATATATATATATATATATATATATATATATATATATATATATATATATATATATATATATATAGTGCCTGGCACATGCTTAGAAAAGATATTGCCACTATTCTTAACTGTAGCTTTGCCAATATTATTATCTGTAAAATCTTATTTAGTCCTACCAGCAGCTCTCAACACTAAAGAACCTAGTCTAGAGGTTCTAGGAAGTCTATTTCAGCTAGGAAGTTGACATTGGGCAATGTTAATTTTTCTTACAATGTCTCCACCGGTCATAAGAATCTTACAGAAATCTTTCTGCCTTTCTTTTTCCCTATAATTCACTTTAATAACTGGCCATTAGATTGTTCTTTCTTAAAACAGTGCCTTGATCACCTACCTTACCTGGCATCAAAATCTTTTTTGATTTTTTGATGCATATTCAAATCCTTCCACAGTCTGAGTCATCTCATTTGCCCAACCCCCTCTCCCACGGACCTCCCAGCCCTCGTGTAATGAATTCTGTCCTCCAGTTCAGCTACTCTGTTCCATGCTTCCAGTGTCACTATACATATTCCTGCCTTTGTTCATGTCATTTTCTCTGTCTGAAGGACATTTTCTCTTTCTCTATCTTATTTTCCTTTAAAGCCAAGTTTAAGACTTCCATGAAGTCTTCCCAGATGTTCCAGTTCTGGATTCTCTCTGTCTCCTCCAAAAATGGCAATAGTTGTTTTCAGCATCATCTTTTAGACCATTGACATCAATGACCTAGTCTGCAAGCAGTAGCATCAGCATATCAGCCGACACCATTTACTAGCACCTGTTATGTGCTGGGCACTGTGATGGATACAAGTTTCAGAATCATCAACCTAAATCAAGTTACCTCTCTTCTTACTAGCTTTGTGAGTTGGGCATTTTTATAGCCTCTCTGAGCATCGGTTTATCCATCTACAATATGGGGACATAATAACTACTTTGGAAGGCTGTCTGCAACTGAGCTGACATAGTCCACGTAGAATGTTTTTGCACAATCCAGGCAGCTTAATAAGAGCACTACAGCTCGGCTAGCATGGCTTAGTGGTTGAACATCAACCTATGAACCAGGAGGTCATGGTTCAATTCCTAGTCAGGGAACATGCCTGGGTTGCAAGCTTGGTCCCCAGAGTGAAGTGTGGAGGAGGCAACCAATCAATGGTGTGCTCTCATCATTGATATTTCTCTCTCTCTCTCTCTCTCTCTCTCTCTCTCTCTCTCTCTCTCTCTCTCTCTCTCTTTCTCTCTCTCTCTCCCTTCCTCTCTGAAATCATTAAAAAATATTTTTTAAAGTACACTACGTCTGATCCTAAAGTTACTAATCAATGTGTGTAGGTATTCATCAATTAGTCCTATCTGGCTTTTTTGTTCCCAGCAATTTGCACAGTGCCCTAAGTCTAACCAATTGCCAAGATATATGTCTGTTGATTATAATAAACTGTTGCCATTACTAGAATTAATAAACCTGTTCCAAAAAGCCCTAACATAATACACAAAATTCAGACCTATACACATCATTCTGGAACCAAAAACCATAAGTGAATAATCAAATTACCTAAACAATAAAAAAACATCCAGGGGCCACAGTAATACAAAGATACCTAATTGTTTGCAAGGAATGCAATGTCAAATTTCAGTAATTAAAAGGCAAGACTGCACACAAGTTTAACTCCCTGCCAGACATGGTCTGGCTGGCTTTGCAGGATATGCCCACAAAGTGTGCCTTCATCTCTCACCTGTAATTTCCGCAAGGAGCAGTGATGAGTCAGTGTAAATTGTTGTAAAGTAACAAGCTGTGGTTGTTCCATTCTTCAGTGTTCTCCTCTAAAAATACACCACAAAAACCATAAGTCGCATGTGCCAAGAAAGTCACGTGGCATATACAGTGAAAATAAAATTCTAGGTCCCAATTTTAAAATGTTTTTATTTAAAGATATGCCACCTTGATATGAAATATAGTTCAAATAAATAGCAAATGTACTGATTTCCAAAAGTGTGAGCTGGATGAGAACTTGATATTTTTGATTTTCTAGATTCATATAGTTCTGTGTTGCAGAATTCATTAAATAAGATGCTAATTAATTCCTTATCTTTTAGGTTTGGCTGAGCATATGCAAACTTATTGCATCTGGGAGTGAATAAAGGATTTTTTTTTGTCTATTACAGGATAAAATAATTTAGCCAGACTTCTTGTTCAAGCTGGCAGATTGGTCACATACATATCTCTCTTCCTTAGCGAATTTCCACTAAAATAACAGTAAAAGAGTACAAAATTTATTCACCAACAAGAGGAACATAAGAAGAGACATGAACAGAAAAAACAACAACATTTCAACATCTCTTTGGAACACAAAGAATATGGGAAAGAACCTGAAAGAAACTGAGAGAGAGAGAGAGAGAGAGAGAGAGAGAGAGAGAGAGAGAGAGAGAGAGAGAGAGAGAAAGAGAGAGAGAGAGAGAGAGAGAGAGAGTTGTTAACAGGGAGTTGGCTCCAAGTCCGTCTACAGAAAACCAAGCCCTGACAAAACGCTTCTTCTTGTTGTTGAAATCAGCCAATCACCCCTAACCTGCTCCTTGCAGGAGAGATTTACTCTTTGTAGAAATTGAGTAGTATTTGGAGTATGTAAGCCCCAAAGGACAAGGCAAGGCACAGTCTGAAAAGAAGAGGCTGAAGAGAAAATCTGGCTGATCTCCAGGGGCCCTCAGTCAGCTTGCTAGAATGCCACACATATTACTACCACCACTCCTGGCAAGACTGGAGGACTCTTCCCTAGTGAAGATGAGTGGCTCTACAAGAAAGATGTCCTCACAATGACATGTGGGGCCCACAATTGAAAAGGCTACTTACTTCTTTCACTGTTCATCTTAACATGAAGTTCACTAGTCAACAAGAGTTATCTTCACCCAGAAAGCGTGGCCCAGATGGCATGGCTCAGTGGTTGAGTGGCAACTCATGAACCAGGAGGTCATGGTTCAATTCCCATTCAGGGAACATGCCCAAGTTGTGGGCTCCATCCTCAGTAGCAGCTTGCAGGAGGCAGCCAATAATTATTCTCTCCCACCATGTTTCTATCTCCCTCTCCCTTCCTCTCTGAAATCAATAAAAGTGACCATTGCACCCAAAACAACCGAACAGATGACCAAACAGGCTATGTGGGTTAGTGAGGGGAGACCAAATGACCGAACAGTAGGCTGCATGGGGCAACCAGGCCAGCAGAGGGGGCAGTTGGGGATAACCAGACTGGCGGGGGTGGGGAAGAGTGAAGGATGGCCAGGCTGGCAAGGGTGGGGAGACAGTTGGGGGTGACCATGCTGGCAGGGGGTGCAGTAATGGGTGACCATGCCAGGCCAGCAGGGAGGGCACTAAGGAGTGACCTGGCCAGGGGGTGGGGGCACTAAGGGGTGACTAGGCTGGTGTGTGTGTGGGGGCAGTTGGGAGTGACTATGCCTGCAGGGGGAGAAATTGGGGTGCCCAGGACAGCAGGAGGGGCAGTTAGGTGCAGTCAGGAAGCCAGGCAAGTGAGCAGTGTTCCTGATTATGAGGAGGTCCTGGGTTGGAAAGACTGCAGGGTGAGCTGAGGAGACCCCCGCACCCATGCATGAATTTCATGCACCGGGCCTCTAGTTTAAAAATAAGTAAAAAGATAAATAAATGTGAATGTATTTTCAAAGTTTAACAGATTCTGGAGGAAAGCTGCTATGAAAAGGAGAAAGGGGAGAGAAAATCTGGAAAAAATAATGGAGGAAACAGCATCAAAAGGAAGCTTGACTAAAAACAAAAAATAAAACAAAACTATGATTACTATCTGAAAGAATTAAAGAAGATAATTGCATCTACAAGACAAGAACAGAATGCTATGAAAATCAAACAATAAGTACTCTCCAAAAGTAAACATTTTATAATTGAAATTTGGAAGTCAATAGAAGATTGTAGGGTAAATTTAAAAAAAAAAAAAACCCTCAGGGGGAAAAATACTTTGAACTTAAATAATAAGGAAGAACATACCCTATATCTTAAACAGAAGTCTCTATTCTGAGTCAGCCAAATGTTGAGGAAAGCAAATGAGAGCCCAGTGACATCGTTGGTTAGTCCCAATGGTGAAGAGAATTTGAAAAGCTGGATTTTTTTTTATGTCAATCTTTTCAAATTTTAAGACACTTTGCATATGAATAAAATACATCTGGCTGCTAATAGAGGATGATTAGAGCCCATCAGCTAAAGATGAGGATGAGCCCTCTATCAGAATCACAAGTCCAGGGGAAGAGCTAGTACCAGACAGAGACATTGAATCCAACCTTCAGCAACTCTGAAAGTGTCTGGATTCAGTGCACTCAGTAAATATTAACTGAATGAACACCCAAGGAAGCTGAATTACTAAGCAGCAAGAAACATAAAATCAGTTTCCTATATAATAAAAGGCTAATATGCAAATCGTCCCCTCGACTAGGAGTTTGACCAGGGGGCAGTTTCGACCAGCCAACCTCCCATGTTCCTTCTCCCTGGCCATGCATAAATTTGTGCACCAGGCCTTTAGTTCTTAGATAAATAGAACAGGGCATGGTGTCCTTGCAAGAGGACAGGCTATAATAACGGCACAATGAATGAATGACTTGCAAAATTAGACCCCGTGTTCTTTAAGAATGCAATACAAAAGCATATATAGAAGCTTTAACATTTTTTTCTAATAGGGGTTACCAAAAACAAAGAGTGGATTGCAGGGAAGAATATATTCAGAGAGAAAGAGAGAGAAATAAATTTTCCAAATTAGAAGAAAGACAGTAGTTCTCACATTGAATAAATTATGTATGAAAGAGAATGAACTAAAAAAAAAATCTATAAGTGAAATTTCAGAACATCCTGAAGGCCAGCAAATTAGGCAGAATAGAAAGATAATCAGATTGACATCAGCATATTAGATGTTGATGGAAAAATCATTTCAAGTAGAATTCTTTCTACAGCAAAAGTGCATCATCATTCAGAAGAAAGTAAAACCATTTTTGGTAATTCAATGAGTTGGAATGTTTATCACCCACTTTATTGAAAAGGGATTCCAAGAAAATAAAAAAATGAATTCAAAAGAGGCTGAAACCGGTTTGGCTCAATGGATAGAGCGTCGGCTTGGGGACTGAGGGGTCCCGGGTTCGATTCCGGTCAAGGGCATGTACCTTGGTTGCGGGCATATCCCCAGGAGGGGGTATGCAAGAGGCAGCTGATCAATGTTTCTCTCATCGATGTTTCTAACTCTCTCTCTCCCTTCCTCTCTGTACAAAATCAATAAAATATTTTTTTTTTTAAAAAGAAAGAAAGAAAGACAGGAGATCCAAATAGAAAAAAAGAAAAGAAAAGAAAAAGTAAAGTTCATTTTTAAATTAAGTGCTGATGTTAAAAAATAATAAACTGGAATTAAATTAAGATAAAATTTAAAATAGCAAATCTGAAGGTTAAAACTTATTTTAAATTAAGTGCACATGGTAAAAAATAAACTGGAACAAAAATCTCAGGTGATATATCAGAACATGGTGAGGAGGGTATAACATGAAGAAGGGAAGGGTATGTAAGATTCTTGCCTTGTATGGAGGAAAATGCTAGAAGTCTTGTTTAACATTTTTAACAACTTAGTTCAATAAAGATGTAAAAAATGTCATGCCAACAGAGAAAACACAATCTTTAAAAAAAAATGTACAGATAACTATAAAAATTAACCTTTTGTTGGGTCATAAACAAAATGAATCACTTTTCAAGAAAAATAATCATACAAATTATATTAATTATATTCGCTTGTCAGAGTAATGTGAAACTCAAAATTAAAACAGAAGTATTAGCAAACATTTTCTAAATTCTCAAAATTTTAATCACTTTTCTAAAATCTGGACTTGAAGATGGAATCACAGTGGAAATTTTCAGTTATTTAGCAATGAGGACAATGTAAATATTATCTATGGATATAAAAAAAAAAAACCCAGAAGAAAAAAAACAAAAACCAACTCTATGGTGCAAAAATTGCCAATTTGTTGAAGTATAGATATAGAACTGTTTTCTGAAGGAGAAAATAAACAAAAATGTCTCGATTCTATTCATGGTACTGCCTTAGCACCCTTATACATTGCCATGGGCAGTCTTCAGCATAAGGACAGGCTCTAGTTAACAAACTTGAACTTTCTTAGCCATAACCTTGGCTCATGCAATTCTCATGAGCCTGCTTATAATCAGAAATATTGGATGTGTGAACTGCAAATACCTGTTGAGAATAATACCTATCTTGTACTCACTAGCATCAAATTCTTACTCAATTCTCTGATTTAAGAAATAAGTCTATGGCCATACCACCCTGAACATGCCCAATTTTGTCTGATATAAAGAAATAAAATTTATGGAGTATTGCCTGGAGGGAGTATCTAAAAATACATGTTCTAGATACTCCCTCCAAACATAAAAATGTACATATCTGGATTTTTTTTATACTATAGTACCTTGACAGTATATATTTTGACATCAGAGCATGTAACTATATTGGAATATTTCTCTTAAATTTCAGTATGATAAATAGATATGTTGTTGTTGTTTTTTTTAAATCAAACAGTGTAAAATTCAAAATTGATTTTTCTCTCTGGGTTACCTAGACATTTAAAGCCAAATTTGTGACAATCTCTAACAAATGCATGGATCCCCATGGCATACATTTACCTCTTAGTTTTATTTTATTTTTTCCTCTTCCCTTTTTTCCTTTGCCATGCTTTGGTGACTCATTTTCTTCTGTTGGATACTATGCAATTTTAAGATATCTCAAACCCTTTTTAGAACAATGCAAGGCAAAAATAAATTTTGAAAATAAAAAGCTTTGGTGTGGTTAACACAATTCATTGGCACAATACAGCTCCATAGACAGCTTTTGTCCTCAGTTTTTCCTGGTGTCAGGAGGATGCATGCTAAATATGAAAACCCACAATTACGCTGAATTTATAATGATAAGCCTTATATATGACCCAGTTATCCTGCCAGTTTCCTGGTTTTGTGTCACTCAAGCTTTGAAGAATATTCAAAGTGACACAAAACCAGGATAACTGGGTGATATATAAGGCTTACAATATTGCCATCAACACATAGCCATCAATTTAGGAGAAAATCCAGCAAAAATGCAGGATTTATTCAGAATATGTGTACTGAATGATAAGAGGCAGTGGTCAGATAAGGAGGTATTTGCAGCTTTATTTCTCAACTGCAGAAGCTGTTTCTGGCTGCTAAGTGGGTTGGGCATAGGGTTGGGGTAGAAAGATGGGAAACGATTTTCTTGGGAGAGTGAAAGGAAGGGTATTTTTGGAGTCTGCAGTGGGCACACACTACAGCCACTGTTCAATGACTGAACTAGCCCCATAGTTCCCTCTAGTGGTGCTAATGCTCATCACAATCCCATATGCCCAGGAAAGGGATCATCCTATTTTTCCTCTTTGCAAAGTTACCAAAATAGCATGACGTCCTTCTAACTGCAGTTTAAATTTTTAATTTTTAATTGCCTTTGGTATTTTTTAAAGCAAACACATAGAACGCTTTCCATCTGTCAGGCACTATTTTAAGAACCTTACAGATATTAACTGGTTTAATTATCATAACAATCCAGTGAAATAGATTCTCTCTCTCTCTCTCTCTCTCTCTCTCTCTCTCTCTCTCTCTCTCTCTCTCTCTCACACACACACACACACACACACACACACACACACACACACACACAGGGAAGATGAGCTGCAAAACTTTCCAAAGGCTACTCAGCTATTCTATAGGGTCCCCAGAACAGTATTGTGAATTAGCAGGAGTAAGGGAACACACATATGCATTCAACCCAACTTTAGTGAAGTAACACACAAAAAGTAAAAGATGGAGAGTGATGAGAGCCCATCCAATTTGGGAACCTGGGAATCTGAACTCAAGTCCACTCTTTGCTAGTAACGAGCTGTGTAGATGAGGTGGCCACAAACTCACTGGGCTGTGAGAGAACTAAAATAAACTTCTGTAGCCCATTCTAGCCTTACCAGCCTGTGTTTTATACTTAAGACATGCTCCCAAGAAATGGATGTTTCTACAGGCGACCAAGCGTCATACCCTGGCACTCACAAGCAGGACACTTACGACAACTTTGGTATATACTTCCTCAGCGAAGTCCAAGTTCTTGAACTTGAGTTCTGTGGGAAACGTGTACTTGGTCAGCCACTGCAGAAGCGGCAGGTCTACGTTACTCCCACTAAAGGGATACTGAGAGGCATGGATGTGCGTATCCACCAGCCCGGGCATGAAGAACTCACTGGAAAATAAAGGCGAGAGAAAAAAGAATTTAATAGCATCTTTTGTCATTTTCCATATGTTTAAATCATGTTTTCTCTTGGCCATCATTGAACTGTTCATCGCACATCCATTTAGAGCTGATGCAAATGGATGACTAAATTCATCCAGCATTTAGAGATCTGCTAGGAGAGAGCTAGCTCCTACGTTGGAATGACTGGTGTGAGGTTCATCACAGATGATGAAGGGAAGAAGAAGCTGAGGGGAGGGCCATGAACCCAGAGAACAGGTGTCAGAGAGCTCGGCAGATGGCGAGGTTGCTTTGAAAATATTGGTAGTGAATGTTGGAATGGTAAGGTGAGGGAGGAGAGAGAGGGCCGCATTTTGTTTTCCATTAAGAGAAGCCCAAGCATGCTCTGATGGTAGCAGAGATAAAAGAAGTAAAGGAGATAATTCAGGGTGCAAAGTCTTCTGAGTCGACAGAACACCCGTGATTTATTGCATCAGAAATGTGATTTTCAGCCAAAACCGGTTTGTCTCAGGGGATAGAGCATCGATCTGCGGACTAAAAGGTCCCAGGTTCGATTCCAGTCAAGGGCATGCATGCACATTGGTTGCGGGCACATCCCATGTAGGGGTTGTGCAGGAGGCAGCTGATTGATGTTTCTCTCTTATCGATGTTTCTAATTCTCTATCCCTCTCCCTTCCTCTCTGTAAAAAATCAATAGAATATTTTTTTTTTAAAAGAAAGAAATGTGATTTTCATCCAGAAAAGCTAACAATCCTTTTTAGGAAACAGGAAGCATTGTGGAAGGTTTTGTAATAGAAGCATTCACATAACCAGGGTCTAGTCCGGGACTTATATTACAGATATTCGTACGTGCTGGGGTGTGGTATGTTGAGATTAGAGGTCACAGAGCTCAAAGGAAGCTCAGAGATGCCAAGATCATTTTTTAAATATTTTTTATTAAATTATTATCTTTGTACATATACCATTGCCCCCCCCATACATGCCCTCCCTCCCCAGAGTTTTATGTCCATTGGTTGTACTTATATGCATGTATACAAGTCCTTCGGTTGATCTATTATCTCCCCCAGATCTCCCTCCCCTCCCCACTGTAATTTGACAGTCTGCTTGTCTTTACTGTCTCTATATCTATCTTTTGGTTCATCAGTTTATAATGTTCTTTATTATCCACAAATGAGTGAGGTCATGTGGTGTTTCTCTTTCATTGACTGGCTTATTTCATTCAGCATGATGTTCTCCAATTCCATCCAGGTTGCTGCAAATGATGAAAATTTCTTCTTTTTTATGGCAGCATAATATGGTACATTGTGTAGATGTACCATAGTTTTCTGATCCAATCATCTGCTGATGGGCACCTAGGCTGTTTCCAAATCCTAGCTATTGTAAATTGTGCTGCTATGAACATAGGGGTGCATATATCCTTTCTGATTGGTGTTTCTAGCTACTTGGGATATATCCCTAGGAGTGGGATTACTGGGTCAAATGGGAGTTCCATTTTCAGTTTTTTGAGGAAGCTTCATACTGTTCTCCATAGTGGTTGCACCAGTCTACATTCCCATGAGCATTGCACGAGGGTTCCTTTTTCTCCGCAACCTGGCCAACACTTGTCGTTTGTTGATTTGTTGTTGTTGGCCATTCTGACAGGTGTGAGATGGTACAGTATTGTTGTTTTGATTTGCATCTCTTGGATAATTAGTGACTTTGAGCATGTTTTCATGTGCCTCTTGGCCTTCCTTCTGTCTTCTTTTGAGAAGATTCTATTTAGATCCATTGCCCATTTTTTAATTGGGTCATTTATCTTCCTTTTATTAAGTTATATAAGCTGTCTGTAGATGTTGGAGATTAAACCTTTATCAGTGATAACATTTGCAAATATGTTCTCCCTTACAGTGGGCTTTCTTGTTGTTTTGTTGATGGTTTCTTTTGCTGTAAAAAAGCTTTTCATTTTGATGTAGTGCCATTTGTTTATTTTCTCTTTAGCTTCCATTGCCCTAGGGGCAGTATCAGTGAAGAAGTTCTTTTGGCATACGTCTGAGATTTTGCTGGCTGTGGATGCCTCTAATATTTTTATGGTTTCCCGTCTTATGTTTAAGTCCTGTATCCATTTTGAATTTATTTTTGTGTATGGTGTAAGTTGGTGATCTGGTTTCATTCTTTTGCATGTATCTGTCCAATTTTCCCAACACCATTTATTGAAGAGACTGTCTTGACTCCATGGTATGTTCGTGCCTCCTTTGTCAAAGATTAACTGAGTATAATGATTTGGGTTGATATCTGGGTTCTCAGTTCTATTACATTGATCTATATGTCTGTTCTTGTGCCAGTATCAGGCTGTTTTTGAGAACAGTGGCTTTGTAATACAGCTTGAAATCTGGTATTGAGATCCCTCCTGCTTTACTCTTTTTTTCTCAGGATTGCTGTGGCTATTCGGGGTCTTTTGTTGTTTCAAATGAAATTTTGGAGAGTTTTTTCGAGGTCAGTGAAATATGCCATTGGTATTTTAATGGGGAGTGCATTGAACCTATAGATTGCTTTGTGAAGTATGGACATTTTGATGATGTTGATTCTACCAATCCATGAACATGGTATGTTCTTCCATCTGTTTACATCTTCCTCCATCTCTTTTTTCAGTGTCGTGTAGTTTTCTGCGTATAGGTCTTTTACCTCCTTAGTTAAGTTTATTCCTAAGTATCTTAATTTTTTGGTGCGATGGTAAATGGGATTGCCTTTTTAGTCTCTTTTTCCATAAGTTCACTATTGGTGTGTAGAAATGCCATAGATTTCTTGGCATTAATTATGTATCCTGCTACATTGCCAAATTCATTTAAGTCTATTAGTTTTATTATGGAGTCTTTTGGATTTTTTATGTACAATATCATGTCATCTGCAAATAAGGATAACTTTACTTCTTTTCCAATTTGGATGCCTTTTATTTTTTCTTCTTGTCTAATTGCAATGGCTAGTACTTCCAGTACCATGTCAAACAGGAGTGGTGAGAGTGGGCATCCCTGTCTTGTTCCTGTTCTTAGAGGGAATGGTTTTAGTTTTTGCCCATTGAGTATAATGTTAGCTGTGGGTTTATCATATATAGCTTTTATTATGTTGAGGTATGATCCTTGTACTCCCACCTTGTTGAAAGTTTTTATTAGGAAAGGATGTTGGATTTTATCAAATGCTTTTTCTGCATCAATTGATATGACTATATGATTTTTATCTTTCAATTTGTTTATGTGATGTATCACATTTATTGATTTGCGGATATTGTACCATCCTTGCATTCCTGGAATAAATCCTACTTGGTCGTGGTGTATGATCTTTCTGATGTTCTGCTGGAGCTGATTTGCTAGAATTTTGTTGAGGATTTTGGCATCTATGTTCATGAGGGATATTGACCTGTAATTCTCTTTCATTGAGTTGTCTTTATCTCGTTTTGGTATTAGGGTGATGCTGGCTTCATAGAAGGAGTTTGGAAGTGTTCCTTCCTCTTGGATTTTTTGGAATAGTCTGAGGAGGATAGGTTTTAGTTCTTCCTTGAATGTTTGGTAAAACTCTCCTGTGAAGCCATCTGGTTCTGGGCTTTTGTTTGCTGGAAGTTTTTTGATGACTGTTTCAATTTCTTCCCACGTCACTAGTCTATTGAGGTTTTAGATTCTTCCTGATTGAGTTTTGGAAGGTTGTATTTTTCTAGGAATCTGTCCATTTCCTGAAGGTTGTCCAGTTTGTTGGAATAGAGTTGTTCGTAGTATTTTGTTACAATCCTTTGTATTTCGGTGGGGTCTGTTGTTATTTCACCGCTTTCGTCTCTGATTTTGTTTATTTGGGTCCTCTCTCTTTGTTTTTTGGTTAGCCTGGCTAGAGGTTCATCAATCTTGTTTATCCTTTCAAAGAACCAGCTCTTGGTTTTGTTGATCCTATGTATTGTTTCTTTGGTCTCTATGTCATTTATCTCTGCTCTAATTTTTATTATTTCCTTCCTTCTGCTTACACTGGGCTTTTCTTGTTGTTCTTTTTTTTTTTTTTTAAACTCTTCCAGTTGTAGAGTTAGGTAATTTGTTATCATTTTTTCTTGTTTTTTGCAATAGGCTTGTAGAGATATGATTTCCCTCTCAAAACTGCTTTTGCTGTGTCCCATAGATTTTGGATTGTTGTGTTTTCATTGTCATTTGTTGCCAGGATGTTTTTAATTTCTTCCTTGATTTCTCTGGTAACCCAGTCCTTGTTTAATAGCATGCTCTTTAATCTCCATGTGTTTGATTTCTTTGGATTATCTTTATTGTAGTTAATTTCCAGTTTTATGCTGCTATGATCTAAAAAGATGCTTGATATGATTTCTATCTTCGTGAATTTGAAGAGACTTTGCCTATGTCCCAATATGTGGTCTATCTTTGCGAATGTCTTGTGTGCACTTGAGAAGAATGTATATTCTGTGGCTTTGGGGTGGAATATTCTGAAGATGTGGATTAATTTTATCTGGTCTAGTGAGTCATTTAGGATTGATATTTCTTTGCTGATTTTTTGTTTAGATGATTTGTCCAAAGGTGAAAATGGGGTATTAAAATCTCCTACTATGATTGTATTGCTATTAATCTCTCCCTTAATGTCCTCCAGCAGGTTTTTTTTTATATATATTTATTTATTTTTATTTTATTTTATGTATTTGGGTGCTCCTGTATTGGGTACATATATGTTTACCAGGGTTATTTCTTCTTGTTGGATTGCTCCCTTTAGTATTATGAAGTGGCCTTCATTATATCTTGTTATGTCCTTCACTTTGAGGTCTAATTTGTCAGATATAAGTATTGCTACTCCAGCTTTTTTTTTCATTTCCATTTGCCTGGAAAACCTTTTTCCATCCCGTCACCCTCAGTCTGTGTGAGTCTTTTTTTCTGAAGTAGGTTTCTTGTAGACAATAGATATATGGGTCTTGTTTTCTTATCAATCTGTTACCTTATGTCTTTTGATTGGAGCATTTAATCCATTTACATATACAGTTA